GGAATAGGTGCATTTTCTTCGACATTGGGGTTGGCTTTGTATATAAGTTCGGTAAGAAATTGTGGTCTTTCAGCTGCTATAACATGAATGATATATTGGAAGGAGGCTTTAAGAGGTTTTCTGTTTTTGGTGGCAGATTTAATTTCTTTACCAGGATTAGAGGTTGGAACCGGTTGGATGAACCCGAATTTAAACCCGGTTTAACCCGACTCGAATTAAAATCGGATTGAAATTTTTCTAATCCAATAATCGAATTAAATAAAACCGGTAAATCGGATTTAATAAAGCCGGGTTAATTTTGGTAATCGAATTTAATAAAACTGGGTTTGTTTTAGAAATCGGATTATTTTAGAAAATCGGATTATTTTAAAAAACCCGATTGGTATTTTTATTTCTAAATTCGTGTAATACTCTAATTTTTTAATTTTAACTTTTCCTTTTTTGAGCTTCTAACTAAATTAGTATCGCGATTGTTAAAGCCCACTGTATGCATACTGTCACAAGGCTAACACGATAACATGATGCCTCCGATAGCTTCTTTATTGAACTTCTAAATTAGTATCGCGATTGTTAAAGCTTACCGTATGCATACTAACACAAGGTTAACACGATAGCATAATAGCTCCGATGTAATATAGTAGGTTCCAGAATATAATAATTAGAATTAAAATGTATAAAAATGAAGCATCTATTTTAATAGAGAAATCACGCTCTCATTAAAGTGGCGTAGCAAAATGATTTCTTGTTTTAAGTTCTCGCCATTAAGTTCATTATAGAATTGCTGTGACCATTTGAAACCTTGTGAAATTCACTGCATATTCATTATGCTTTGCTCTCCTAAACCAGTCATTACACCGGTTATGTCAATAAAATTTATCATTTACATGCAGTTTGTTTTTGCTAGCACAGAAGAGAATCATGATTTGTAAATGATCGGCTCTCTTCCCCAACAAAAAGAATAAAGAAAATATATACTTTCACTTTGTAACCAGTATGAGTCTCAAATAATGTACTATTCGTAAAACATAAAAAAGAATGGTGCTAACAAAATCAAGAAACTTTTACATTAGCCCAGATTATATTTATGGCAAAATTGGGTAAAAAATAATGAAATAAGGCATCTATCCATTATCAAAAACCTGCTGATATTGTTGTCAGAATAAAGAAAGAATTTAAAATCTGCAGAGATAGAAAATTTTGATGAAATAAGCAAAGTTAGAAATTCTTATCTTCAAGTGAATAAAGGCGCGCATATGACAATTAAGGATAAATTTATTATACGAATGTACGTACGCCAGCAGTAAATCAAAGCTGGCAATTTGCCCTAACGGATTACAAAAAATTTCAATCATTATTGTAAGTTAATGATCTTTTAAATTTGTAAAGTGTTAAGTTGATGACTTTAAAAGTTTAACTTGGATTTCACCTTTAATATATATAAACCCTTAAAACAATTTTTGGATTGTAAAATATAGAAGTCCGATACCTGATTTTCACAGTATTGAGTGCTTACTATATTTTCGTAGTTGTATTATTACTTGAAAACTTTAAAACTTTAATTAATCACATATCTTTTTACTTTGTTTTATAAGAAAATGGATGACGAAGACTTATATTCTACTGAAAACAATTCAGAAACTGAAACTGCACCATCAATGTCGACAACACCATCAGTATCAACAGCACCATCGGCTTCAAGTGCCAATAGTTTAGTTCGGAAAAAGCGAAGAACTGCTTACACGACCCTGCCTAATAATACAGATACTAAATCCCGTAGCAACCGTAGCCATACTACCTTTTTTTTTCGCTCTGATTCAAAAAATTCTTCTATCGCTTATTGTAAAGTGTGTGAAGTTAATCTAGCTGGTACCCGTAAAGCTGCTTATCCATACATTCGAAATGGCGGGAATACAACAAACCTCATTAACCATTTACGTGATAAACATGGAATTACAAAAGACAATTATTTGGGATTCTTAGATGAACATAATGAAGTATATATGAATTGTATATATTCAGAAGATTTAAGTTTGATCTAAAATAAATTTTTTTTTTAATTCATACTTCATAGCCTCGGCATGATCAAACAAAAATAACTGAATATGCAAAGGCGGCTGCTCCATGTTCATTAAAACGACAAGAACTTATTACACAAATGCTTATCTCCTTTATTGTTAATTTTGTTCAACCATTATATATTTTGCAAAATCCATCTTTTCGCAACCTTCTCCTTACTTGTGAGCCTGGTTATAGAATTCCATGTAATAAAACTATGAAAGCTATGATTTATGATTCATTTATGTGGAACAAGGAACAGCTTCGCTCACTTTTAAGCAATAATGTTATTGCCATTCATCTGACCACTGATCTGTGGACTGCGAAATCTCGTCACGGATATCTTGGCGTAACGGCAACCTGGTTAACATCTAACTTCGAATTCCATGAAGCACTTTTATCCTGTAATCATCTTCCACATCCACATTCGGGTGAAGTTATTAGTTCTGAGTTATTCCAGGTTATAAGTGATTGGAACTTGACAAATATTATATTTACCATTGTAACTGATAACGGGGCTAACATGGTCAAAGGCATTCGGTTATTAAATGAGCAGTACTTATCACAAGTTAAGCGACAACCTTGCGTTGCACATACTTTACAGCTTTCAGTTTTGCAGGGTTTAAAACAATGCAAAGAAATTCATTGTCGCATAAAGTGTTTACAGACTTATTTCCGTTTACCAAAACAGGCACAAAGACTTCGAGAAGCTCAAAAAAATTCTGGGCAATTATCAGATGATTGTGACAATCGTAATCCGCTTGATGTCTTAACTGACGTTAAGACCAGGTGGAACTCGGTATATTATGCTTGGAAAAGAGTTTTAGAACTACATACTTCAATGAAACATGTTTCTACAACATTACTAACTAAGTCTGATCGGATATCACAACTGGAGGGTGAGAAATTAGATCGGCTATGTTTATCTTTTGAGGAAAGAGGGTAAGAGTGAAGCAATTATGTATTAGGAAGTTTCAGAAATAAAGTTGTTTTTTGTTAAAAAAAAACATGTATTTTTTAAGTAATCTTTGTTTTAAAATTCTTATTTATTTCTGAAATATGCCAATTGTTTTTATTTAAAAATTCGAAATGTTGAATACTGCTATTCGAACTGTCATTCAACACTATTACATGATTTTGCGGACATGCATGTCCACAAAATCATGGGATAGTGTTGAATGACAGTTCAAATGGCTGTTTGAGTGGCATTCGAATTATGTCATTCAATATTGCGAATTTTTTAAATTTTACAGTATTTGAAAACTCTATTTATACTAATTGCCTTTTTTTATAAGATTTCTTCAGGATGCAGTAAAACTTTTATCACCATTTGAAAAAATAACACGTCGTATCTGCGGAGCCAAGTATTGTACTTTAAGTCTCGTCCACCCTTACATAGAATTATTAAAAAAGTCATTCGCTCCTAAGTATGAAAAAGGGGAAAGTTATGATGCATACCTTAATTTAATATATGGACCACAATGCGAAAATAGTAATGAAGAGGAGTCTGATAGTTCAATTAGTGACGTTGATGATATTCCATCTGGTGGTTCACGGCAACATTGGCAATACGCTCATCGCCAATTCCGACAAAGAATGCGGATGACCAAAGGAAGAGGAAGGGGAAAAGGTAAAAAAAGAATAAATAGCGGTCGTAAAGATAGAAAAGAAATAAATATAGATGACTTCAATCATGTTGAATATCTACCAGTTGCTAATACCACTGGTATTCTTCAAAAAGTTCGTGCTGCTATTTACTTATCATTAGAAGAACTATGGCCAACACCGTCAGATTTAGTTCGAATTGCAACGCTACTTGACCCCTGCTTTAAAGATTTTAAGTGGGATGATACGTTTGAAGAAAAAGAAAAGGCATATGAACTATTACAAACACTATATGATTCCATGAAAGGGGATTTTCAAACTATAATCATTAATACTCAACAAACGTCTACTTATGATTGTTCAGATGATGATGATTTTTTTCAAGCTTTAGAAAAAAAAGTGAGTGGTAATTCATCTGTAGCAGATGAAGAAGACGAAGTTTCACGCTATAAAAAACTTCGGCAAATTGACGTTGACCAAGATCCTTTAAAGTGGTGGGATGTGAATCAAAGTGGGTTTCCTGTTTTGTCTCAACTTGCACAAAAATATTTGTCAATTCCCGCAACATCCGTGCCCAGTGAAAGGTTGTTTTCAGACGCTGGTAACCATATATCTGCAAAACGTACTCAATTATCTCCAGACTTGGTTAACCAGGTACTATTTTTAAAAAGAAACAGTGAGGTTTTTGGTATGTTTAGGCCTGAAGAACCATAAAATTTGAGCCAAGCTTTTTATATATTAGGGTTTTATAAATAATTGGCATTTTGCTTTAACTCAAAAAGCCACATAAGATTAGAAAAAGCAAATACAATCGCTCAATTTGAACAATTTCAATAAGGGGTTATTAGTATAAATTATATTTATAAGATTAAATAAAGGTTCTCTTTTTCTTCTCGACGTTTTATTAATTAAATTGTGAAATTCGATATTCTTGTTATCTGGGAAGCCTTGTTCTGTTCGAAAAAAGAAAGAAAATAGAAACTATTTCTTTCCAATTTGATCTTTTGTTTATATAATCCTCGTTAATTAATCCATGCTGTCACGTGCCAATAGTGAAAGCCCTCGCGAAGTAATTGTAGAAGAGTAATTAATAAAATAAAATAATATAGGCAGTACTATAGTGTAATAGAGTCAGAGTAAATACTTAACTTTCTAACCCGTGTTTGGATCCAGTGACTACTTGTAAGACTCATTTGGTAAAACACCTTGATTATTCGGCCAAATTCTCTACATGCTTCGTTCGAAGAGCTTTATTAATTAATGCGTGATAGACATCTCTTGTGTTATCATTATATTGTTTAGTCATTACACCGATAACAAAAGACAGTGATCGAATTTTCTTTATTAAGAAAAATGTATATAGCATAAAGTTTTAAAAACTTTATGGTATTATCTTTACAATTCCATAAAAGAAAATATTCAGATATTAACCAGTATCACTATTAAATAGCAATAGAAGTAACAGTTACTGCAATTACGGTCGAAATTGTTATTGCTATGTATTAGAACAGAATCCAGTTGATGTCAAATGATGATTAAAAGGCTCGCTTTGACCTTTTATGAGTTTTATGCCTAGATTTACGAATATATTTCTTAGGCTTTTTATCTATTTTCACCGACTATTAATTAGAACTCTACATGTACTTAAGGTTTTTTGTGACTGACAGAACTCTATTAAAATAAGAATCTAAAATTATTCACTACATATGTCGCGGATCTCGATGACCACGAACATTAATAATAATAGATCAGATTTAGCACCAACGTCTCAATGTGACTGTAAAGGCTTTTGGTATTTGCTTAGAACGAAAGAAAACCTTTTTTTTTTTTTTTTCTTTCTATATATATTAAATTTGGCCAATCAACTACATCATAATTGCTTATATAATATTTTGGTTCTAACTTTATTACATATTTTTCATGAACGCCATCATACTTACGTTATTGATTACATTAATTACTCTCCGATTTGCAATCCAACGCACTAAAATAAGAAATAAGTATTCTTCTACTTTCTCTATGTTTATTTTATCTTCTTTCTTTTATACACTAATAATTCTTCTTTTCAATTATGCATCTTCAATTATTACACCGTGCACAACGTTGACTATGACAAATAAATACTGTATTTTTCTCGATTAAAGTTGACATAGTGTTAAGCAGAAAATTTGCCAAAATTAGGTAGCGAAACAACAGCATGTAAAAATTTTAATTATAGTTGTTTTCATAGTTTCTGGAAGTTCCAGGAATTATGAAAATAGCTGTAATTTGGTCATATCATTAAGTTACTGATTCAGGCGAACATCAATAAACTTAACGATTCGGTCAAAAATTTGCCAACGAAACTGAGCTAAATGGAGTCGAAAAACTAGATAAAACTTATAAAGATCTGAAACTTATTAAATACTATACATGAGTGCTGCCAAGGGAAATGACCCTTCGGACTTTCAATTATATTTTGTACCAGACATAATCTATCTAATTTATTAAGAATTGTGTCCGGTACAAAATATAATTGGAAGTCCGAAGGGTCATTTTCCCTTGGCAGCACTCATATAGTCTATTAAAATATTATCCGGGTTTATTAAATTCGGGTAGACCCGGTTTTGCGAGTTTATTACAACCGCAAATCCGAATAATCCGGTTTTATTAAATTCGGGTTGATTCGGGTTTGCGAATTTATTACAACCGAAAAACCGAATAATCCGGTTTTATTAAATTCGGGTTGATCCGGATTTGCGAATTTATTACAACCGCAAAACCGAAAAATCCGGTTTTATTTAAATTCGGGTTAAAACCGGGTCGGATTTTTGAAATAGAATAAATTCGAATTGCATAAATAAAATCGGTTCCAACCTCTAACCAGGATAGAAGTTATATAGGTATTTTTTTATAAAGAAGAGAATCTGTTTAGGTAAGTCATTAAGTTTTGTATATTTTGTCATATCTTCTGTAATAGGGTATTTCTTGAACTAATCTAAATCTTGATTGGCTTTGTTGTTTGATTTTTCTTTATTACATTGACAAAGCTCTTTAAGTAGTTGTTCTGATTTGGCTTCTTCTTCCTGTATTTTCTTGTATTCATTCATAGATATAAATCGGA